GTCGAAACATTTCGTGGCATGTTTTTTTCCAAATGTTGTTCAAATAATCATACATGTGTATAATGCATAAAAACATTGATCCAAGATATTATCCGAGCGAAGCGACGTCCAAATTGTTTTTTGATCAACTTAGTTAGTTTGGACCCAAAAAAGCAATAAAATAATAACATTAGACCAATTTTGGCAAAAAAAATATGGAAAAAGATGGCGCATAGACTTAGGTTGTTTATAAACATGTAAAAAACATTATAGTTATCACTTATTTCATAAAATAATTATTTTTATATCGTTAATCTGAAAGAACAGCCGACTGCGGATATTCTATTGCCAATAGTAAACAGTAAACGTATTTTTTTTCTTCTGCTACGAAATTATGTGTTCGCTTTGCATATCACGCAGTTATACAAAACCTGTATATATCCGACAGCTTTCTGACTGTTTAATACAAAACCTGTATATATCAGACAGCTTTCTGACTGTTTAATACAAAACCTGTGTATATCAGACAGCTATCTCACTGAATAATACAAAACCTGTGTATATAAGACAGCTATCTCCCTGTATAATACAAAACCTGTGTATATCAGACAGGTATCTCACTGTATAATACAAAACCTGTGTATATCAGACAGCTTTCTTACTGAAAAATACAAAACATGTGTATATCAGACAGCTATCTCACTGTATAATACAAAACCTGTGTATATTAGACAACAATCTCACTGTATAATACAAAACCTGTGTATATCAGACCGCTTTCTCACTGTATAATGCAAAATCTGTGTATATCAGACAGCTATCTCACTGTAAATTACAAAACCTGTGTATATAAAACAGCTATATCACTGTATAATACAAACCTGTTTATATCAGACAGCTTTCTGACTGTTTAAACAAAACCTGTATATATCAGATAGCTTTCTGACTGTTTTATACAAAACCTGTGTATATCGACAGCTATATCACTGTATAATACAAAACCTGTATATATCAGACAGCTTTCTGACTGTTTAATACAAAACCTCTGTATATCAGACAGCTATCTCACTGAATAATACAAAACCTGTGTATATAAGACAGCTATATCCCTGTATAATACAAAACCTGTGTATATCAGACAGGTATCTCACTGTATGATACAAAACCTGTGTATATCAGACAGCTTTCTTACTGAAAAATACAAAACATGTGTATATCAGACAGCTATCTCACTGTATAATACAAAACCTGTGTATATTAGACAGCAATCTCACTGTATAATGCAAAACCTGTGTATATCAGACAGCTTTCTCACTGTTTAATACAAAACCTGTGTATATCAGACAGCTATATCACTGTATAATACCAAACATGTGTATATCAGACAGCTTTCTCACTGTTTAATTCAAAACCTGTGTAAATCAGGCAACTTTCGCACTGTATAATACAAAACTTGTGTATATCGACAGCTATATGGCTCTTTCATACAAAACATGTGTAAATCAGACAGCAATCTCACTGTTTAATACAAAACCTCACTGTTTAATACAAAACCTGTGTATATCAGACCATGTTCTCACTGCATACTACGAAACATAGGTATATCGACAGTCTCTATACCCTAGGCTGTCGACATCGGAGCCTCTGTAATGCGGTATCGGTTATTCCAGACCTCTTATAGAAAATCTACAAATATTTAGTATTAACTCTTATCCATTTTCATTGTTTATATTTTATGAAAAATTCCTTCACTCATTTCGCACGAATGCGTAAACGCTGTGTTAAAATATCAGCTTTGTAAAGTGTATTCTGATTTATTCTGTTGAATTGATTAAACTTAAATGGAGGTCGGTTAGCATACGATTGTGTAACAGACCACTCGCGCGATCTACATATGTGAGTGTTTCGCCGTTACGGTAGCTAAAAGAAAAATACGCCTACAGACCCCTGGGGATATCTAGTCAAATATCACTTCAATTAAAACTCAGGTTTAAAAATAAGCATCTAAGTTGACATTGATGTGACGTAAGGAATGAAAATGGAGATAAGTGTAAATAAATTAGGAGTGCACAATGACGTAGAATGCAATACATTCAATATGTGTCCTGTAGTTTAGTACTAGTTAGTTTCCCATAAGGTCATCTGCACCTTCTTAAATTGTATTTGAACGTTAGGAAATTAAACGACTTATTTGCGAGGATATGTCTTTCATTAGAGAAATATGTGTAATTTATCACACATGTGACAGTGTGTAATTTATCACTAATGTGACAGTGTGTAATTTATCACACAGGTGACAGTGTGATGTAGTCAGAATAATCTCAACCCTGGGGTGATTTTTTTTTTAGATTTTAACGTCAGGATTTTTACATGTATTTTTCTCTCACACTTTCCTATCGTAAATATTAGTGAATCTAATGCACTTCGCTATCATCAAAGGCGCATAGATAATGTGTTAACATTGATTACGAAACCCTGGTCACGCTGCATAAAGTGATGACGCGATAGTGACGTTTTCAAAATAATAGCGCGTATAATACAAGTATTTTCCCCACACTTCATATGTGTATTCCCGACTATACTATGGAAAAATGTAATAGAATATTTTTTTCTACTGTGGGGTTGAGGCATAAAATAATCTCAACCCAAGGGTTAAGATTCTAACTGTGATAGCCCGAGGCTTTGCCGAGGGCCAGACATTTCAGAATGTTACCCCGAATGTTTATAACTTATTCCTTACTGTAGGAATCTTTGGGAGAACATTTTTAAAATTATTCATTCCTGTGTTATGCAAACACAGAAATCCCAACCCTCGGGATAAGATTTCTGAGGTTCAGCACCCGGCGAAGCCTTGTGCTAGACTTTTAAACTCTTACACCCGGGTTGAGATTTCTTTATATTCATCACACATAAGTGATAACTTCTACCATTCTTCAACCCTTCACCTGTGTGTCTCCCGTTTAACTGGAAAGATGATCAACTTGTCGCCCTCGGGAGAGATAGTCTCTTATTTGAATAACACACTCCAACTTGTGACGTCATGAAATGGATTGCGATATTCAATACGCCACACGTACCTTTGTTAACCAATGCCAGACTACTGTCGGTTTTGTTGTGACTGAAATAGCAGGATGGGAGAACAAATAATAAATCCCTTCATTTAGGGTATGATTAAAAAATCTCCAATCTAAATGATGACTTTTTTCGATTGTATAATCAGAGGCTCTGCAAAGGGTTGGTTTGGCGACGTCAGTCGATATCCTAAACGATGACGAGATATCGATAGTTTCGGCGTTTTTATAGTTTGAGGTGAAATTTCACTCCTTGCAATATATCCATACTAAGATTGGCTGATAGGGAACGCCCAAGCGCCGACCGTTTATCATGTATCGTTTAATATCAGAGATGTATCATTTGTATGATGTAGTCCTAAGATATTTGAACTTGTGACTGATTATCCTCTCAAATTCATGCAAAAATGAGTAACTCGCGAAATATACGGAGATTTTCAGTATGAGAAACATATAAATATAAATAATTATATGAAGCATCCTTTATGTTTTGTTCCTGAAAATTCGATTTGTACACATGACAAAGGTGGTTGTCTTTAGACACCTCGCGATGTCATCCAACAATGTATATATATTGCTTAACATTAATACGTTTGTAGAAATAATGTGGGTAAAAACTTCAGGAATGCTAAAATTAAACATGATAATCAAAACCATCGTTGGGTGTTTTTCCTAATACCGTTCATATGTGGGCATATGCTGTTTCCAGAGTACCCAACCAGACACAATACAAATTAGAAAGCACGATAATTGGTTGATGAAATATAAAGTACGTATATACTTTTATCGTATTTTAGTAAAACTTATAAAAATTCCAATCCTGTTTTTACTTTAAGTTTTTGAGCAATTACTCATAGAAGTATAAGTCAAATGTTTAACGAAAAAAAAAGAAGATAAATAAGTTAAGTGTATTATATATCAGACATTATCAAGTACATGCAGAGGGCGATATTTTTATGTAATTTTAGACTAGGTTCCATTGCTAATCTCAGGAATCCGAAGCCGCCGCCTAGCGTCAAGCCATGTGGCGTTTTCTGTGTATCAGTGCTTTGTTCGGAACTGATCACAGACGTTTTATAAGCAATTAAATTGCTAATAAAAATCTAGTAAAGCCAACCAGAGAAGGATAATACATCATTTTAGGCTTCGATATTATCTAATTTCAAATCCAGATATAACAATATAATTCACATATTTCAATTATAAAATCTACCCCCGCTATCGGGGTACAATGCGGCGGGTGATAAAGGTCCGTGGCGGTGAAATGCCGAACAATAATTGGGAATCCCTCCAGGTTTTATCTTTCAAAGGAATAAGATTATGTTCTCACTTCAAAGACATGGTAAATGACAAATTTCCCGGTGATGATAAGTTGTACAAGCTACATCTGTCGTACACACTTCATCCGCGTTCTGTCAACATTCTAAATATGACACTTTATTTTTTACCGTAAACAACATTCCAAATATGATGATATGTTGCCGTAATATTATATATGATAATAAATACCGTAAAAAGCGTATACTTTTCAAATATTATGACACTAAATATCACCGGAAAGATTAAATGACACTATTTAAAACCGTAACGTTCCAAATATGACACAGCCTATTACCGTAAATATTCTTAAAATGGCACTATTTACCAATGTAAAAATTACATTGAAATGACAGCATTAATATTCCAAATAAGACTTTATCGTATATATTGACGTAAACATTCATAGTTAACCTGTAAAAAAGAAACTTGGGTCATTCAGTCATTCCAAAATAGCGATTCTAATTACCGTAAATATTTTACAAAATACTTTACCTAGCAGCGTTAACATTCCATTATAAAAGACGAGAGCAAAATGTCGCCATCAACATAACATATTGAATAGAACAAAAATATAATAAATGAGGAAACGAGCAATGAGAAAAGTCGTGGAGACGATGATGAACCCTTTAGTTTATCGGTAATCTGACCAGTCGTGGGACCACAAGTCATTTCGGTAATCTGACCAGTCGTTGGACCACAAGTCATTTCGGTAATCTGACCAGTCGTGGGACCACAAGTCACATCAGTAATCTGACCAGTCGTGTGACCACAAGTCACATCGGTAGTCTGACCAGTCGTGTGACCACGAGTCATCTCGGTAATCCAACCCGTCGTGTGACCACAAGTCACATCGGTAATCTGACCAGTCGTGGGACCACAACTCACATCAGTAATCTGACCAGTCGTGTGACTACGAGTCATCTCGGTAATCCGACCCGTCATGGGACCACAAGTCATTTCGGTAGTCTGACCAGTCGTGTGCCCACAAGTCACATCAGTAATCTGACCAGTCGTGTGACCACAAGTCACATCGGTAATCTGACCAGTCGTGGGACCACAAGTCACATCAGTAATCTGACCAGTCGTGTGACTACGAGTCATCTCGGTAATCCGACCCGTCATGGGACCACAAGTCATTTCGGTAGTCTGACCAGTCGTGTGCCCACAAGTCACATCAGTAATCTGACCAGTCGTGTGACCACAAGTCACATCGGTAATCTGACCAGTCGTGGGACCACAAGTCACATCAGTAATCTGACCAGTCGTGTGACTACGAGTCATCTCGGTAATCCGACCCGTCATGGGACCACAAGTCATTTCGGTAGTCTGACCAGTCGTGTGCCCACAAGTCACATCAGTAATCTGACCAGTCGTGTGACCACAAGTCACATCGGTAATCTGACCAGTCGTGGGACCACAAGTCACATCAGTAATCTGACCAGTCGTGTGACTACGAGTCATCTCGGTAATCCGACCCGTCATGGGACCACAAGTCACATCGGTAGTCTGACCAGTCGTGTGCCCACAAGTCACATCAGTAATCTGACCAGTCGTGTGACCACAAGTCATCTCGGTAATCTGACCAGTCGTGGGACCACAAGTCACATCAGTAATCTGACCAGTCGTGTGACTACGAGTCATCTCGGTAATCCGACCCGTCATGGGACCACAAGTCACATCGGTAGTCTGACCAGTCATGGGACCACAAGTCATCTCGGTAATCTGACAAGTCGTGGGACCACAAGTCACATCGGTAGTCTGACCAGTCGTGTGTCCACAAGTCACATCAGTAATCTGACCAGTCGTGTGACCACAAGTCATGTCGGTAATCTGACCAGTCGTGTGACCACAAGTCATCTCGGTATTCTGACCAGTCGTGGAACCACATGTCATCTCGGTAATCTGACCAGTTGTGGGACCACACGTCACATCGGTAATCTGACCAGTCGTGTGACCACAACTCATCTCGGTAATCTGACATGTCGTGGGACCACAAGTCACCTCAGTAATCTGTTCAGTCGTGGTACGACAAGTCACCACGGTATTCTGACTAGTCCTGGTACCACAAGTCACCTGAGTAATCTAACTTGTCGTGGGACCAAGTCACCACGATAATCTCTCCAGTCGTGGGACCATAAAGTCACCTCGATAATCCCTTCAGTCGTGGGACCACAAGTCACCTGAGTAATCTGGCCAGTCGTGGCATCACAAAGGATCACAAGTCACCTCTGTAATCTGACCAGCTGCAAGCCTTCAGGTTAAAATTCGTTAGTGTGACCGGTCGAGTTGACTAGAGGCCATGTCTGTAATATGACATGTCCTGAGGGAGATGACGAGGAAGAGGGATATGACGACTAGGAGGAGGAGTTGTACTATACTAGTTCGTCTCACACTACATAAAGGTATACCTGCTGAAAACCAGTGTCATTTAAGAGGATTACAGGGCCGTAAAATTCAAATGAAGCACTTTGATCACCTCCGTATATGTCTAGCGTTTAAGCATCTGGCTTTTATATATGCGTACATAGTTGATCCCGTCCATGCACAATGATGTCAGACTATTTACTTTGAAGATGGCGACGTGGCGATTGCATGCCACTGTCCCGGAGCAGGGCTATTAACGAGCTATGTTACAATGGCCGCCATTGAAGCAGGTGCGAAATTTCTCACGCTAACTGTGAGTATATAAGTCAGGTGTAAAACAGTATAACACCTCGCCACGTAAAAACGTGTGAATCATTAGGTGTGGTCCATGGACTGCCATTGTCACAGAAATCTGTATTCCGCCGTCATCACCACCCCCCTCCACTCCCCCCCCCCCCCCCCNGTTTTCAAAGCATACGTCTATATATTTTTTCTAAATAAATAATAAAAACATGAATGAAATTATCTGTTATCATTATGTTATATATATACCCCGAGACTAAACCCATACGGTATGTTTGAACATATATATATATAATCTACTGGACTATGATCTCGTATTAGAAGGAGACGAGTAGTTAGATGAAGAAATCCGACAGAACCTTCATAACCATGTTAAAAAATGTTGTTTGGGGGTGGTGGTAGCAAAAAGCGAACTCGAAATTTGATCGCTTACCCCTCCTCATGTTTTTATTGATAGTTGCAAATAGGATCAGCTTAAAGTTATTTCAATAATGAGCTTTAGTCAAGTTGAAAGAAAAGTAGTTTTCGATACTCCAGCGTCAAACAGGAGAAAATAATATGTTTCCTGTAGAACCGATACAGGGACTCCACACTTGGTAAACCAGTACTTATATGTACGTGACTGCTTAATAATGTGTCTGTCCAGGGGTTGGGGGTAATGTCTGGTGTAGAAATAAATGGTCTGGCTCCTGTAATGTGCTGGATATATGGAACAATGCGTACAGGACACCTCGTCAGCCGGAATTTGGTTTTCCGGAACTAATTCCAGAATAAAGAGTTATCATAAACGACAGCCACGCCGCTTTAATGCAGACAAAGGCTGTTGTCTTTATTGTAAATCACAGATGAATTTTAAGTTATTTTTCTGTCCGGGTTACCTCCTCCCCTAGATCGATCCATCACTGCACTCATCAATAACTATATGACGATTCTTAACTCAAATTCAGTATTTTTTTTATCACATGGACCAGAGAATTGGACCTGAACTGAGGTGTTCATGAAGTGTATTTTTTGCATCATACCGAAAATTGATTTTAACTCCTAAAACGTGTTAAAATTACTCTAAACAACTCAGTTAGTTAAGGTCCAAATATGGCTGTAACAAATTATCAGGTTCCTGTGCTTTTTATCGGTGAAGCACTGAACAAATGTCTTCCTTAAGCAATCGCTGTTACAAATTCTCAGGTCCCTGTGTTTTTATAGGTGAAGCACTGAACAAATGTCTTTCTAAGCAATCGCTTAGGTATTGAATATGAAGTAGATATAGGTGTGGTTATAAAACAGTCTAGAATCACGTTCAGTGACTTTTTAAGTCTAGTTATCGTCTGCACAATATCAGATGTAATGGGTTTGAGATCGAAGCTACGGGAGAAACGAGTAAGTTATGAAAGAGATAATTTGGAACTCTTTTGTAGATAGGACTCATGAAGAAGTCTCTTTAATTTCGTCACCTGACTAGACTTCCTGTTGAGTTAGCTTTGAACCATCATTACTCAATATCTACGAAATCAACTCGATGGACATTATTTGTAGGTATATACATCAATTTTATACATGTTAAAAAAATGTGTTTTCATCTTATCGGGACTTCCCAGTGCTGCTGGTGCGATATCAGTAGAGTTTCAGTACATTTGATAGCTACATTGATCGAAATCCAAACACATCGAGATAGAAAGAGATAAAATGTTGGTTAAATAGAAATTAGAAAATATCCTATGTTCATTAATGTTAACTTTGGAAATAAAATTATTGTAAAAGTGTGTAAATAAGTACATTATTTCCTGATGAAGATGTATGTTAAATTTGTGATTTAATTTTATTGGGGTAAAAAACATAAAACTGATATCTGTTATCGAATAGCGAATATACCACAGCGAAAAAAGGGAACTAACAAGTTATCTGTTGAAATAAAATTTCTTCATTAAGAATGATACCTGAATAACTCCGAAAAATATTATTCAATAAGAAAAGCATTCAAAAATATACTCGGATATTTATAAAACCCCGTTTCCTAAAAAGAAACACATCAACTGATAATTGGCCAATCTACCCAATTTCAGTCATTCTTACAATATGAAAGTTAAAAAAAAGCAAGCTAAATGATCAATAAGCATGGCTTAAAAATCTGCAAGCAAATACTAGGACCTAAATTTCTAAAGAAAACATTGACAAACAAAATAGTTAATGATTTGCTTTTACTGGTTTGTTTTCTTTATTCTTCCTATGAAAATTGGAAACCTTATTTCTTTTTAGTTTGTTTGTAAAGTTAATAAAAATCTCTATAAAGACTAGTTATCTTAAATATGGATTCCTGTTGACCGTCAATATTTAAAATATTTCAAGCGTGATCGTTAAAATATTCTCTATTGATAACTGAAAGAACAAAAAATAAAGTTCCATACTTAGTTATATTTTTAGGGCTAGAGTGTAGATACTTTTTACGCTAGAAAATGATTCATTTAGACGGTTTAAACATATTTGTTAATAAAGTTGAATGTATCGACTACATTCGCCGAAGCAAGGTAAACCTGATAACCCCTGCTCTTTTAAAGTAGACCCGCCATATATCTAATCAAAGAAACGAAGCCGGTTTAAAGCCGGTGAAGTTTGGATTTTGAACTATATGAAAACGCGTTTATAACTTATTTGGAGAAATTAGACGGACATTTCGTTTCTGGTCTACATAATGTTGCATTTTTATTGAAGTTCAAGGTAATATAATGTTACCTTACACATTAAACTTGTGATTTTAGTTGTTGGGAGTCGATAGCGCATTCGCAATTTCTCCAAGACGGCCGGGGTTCGATTCCCCATTGAACGTGAAGAAGTGAAAAAATTAGGGAAAGCCCAAAGAGAAGCTGCTCGAATTATATCCGTTCTTCCTTCATATGCCCGTATCGAAGATTTCCATTTTGAAACGGGTTTAGAAAGTCTTTCTAATCGTCGAAAACGTAGAAAACTCCAACTTTTATACAAAATGCAAAACAACTCAACTCCAGATTATTTAAACGATCTCCTGCCACCTACTATTGCAGAAAATAACAGGTACGCTCTTAGAAATAACAGTGATTATAGAGTTCCTCTATTTGGGCTTTCTCTTACCAATCTTTCCTTTATACCTTCCACTCTTCGTAGCTGGAACTCCATAGGTCTATCAGAACGATCGTTGCCTTCTATATATTAATTTAAAAACTCTCTTACCTCAAATTTACAACCATCTCCTCCTATCTACTTCAGTTTTGGAGAACGTAAATTAAATATTATACATACTAAACTGAGGCACAATTGTAGTTCCCTTAAGTATGACCTTTACAGAGTTAATCTTGTCGAGAGTCCATTTTGCATCTGTGGACATCCATGTGAGAATGTCTTTCACTTTTTCTTTGAGTGTCAACTTTTTAGCAATGAAAGGCGTATTTTATTTCAAAATTTGAATGCCTTAGGTATAGATTTAAATTTAGAAATCCTCTTATTTGGCAATCCAGATCTTTCGGTAGACCTTAACTCTGACATTTTTAGACATGTGCATCACTTCATCAAATCCAGCAAAAGATTTTGAACGGTGCTTTTTTAAAGTTGTGTATTTGTACCTGTGTGAATATTATATATATACATCTACTTCATGTTTATGCCTATTATCATTGTTGACATGTAATTGTAAATGTATGACGGGAGAAGGCTTTGATAAGTTGTAATAACTTGTGCCCAATCCCTTGTTCTATTTTATTAGCAATAAATATGTTTAAAGTTTAAAAAAGAAGGACGGGGTCAACTGCTAGATCACGGTTTCGCGGTTTCGTGAATCTGAGTGCTTAATTTAAGTTAGTGAATCTTAGGAGATTTCATATATAGAAATAAAGTCTAACTTTAAACATCATGAATTATGTAAGATTTAAACTATGTTTTTAATTAATTTAGTTTATAATCCACGATTTCTTGAGTGTAATAAAGAATATTTTTGTGTACATTTTGAAAATATCCTTTTCCACGTTTCTCGGTTGTACGGAACTTTTGAATAAGGAGACGCAAACACGTTATAGTAACGTAGCATTCGGCCTTGAGGCTCATTCAGTGCACTTTAGTATGTATCTAAAGAATTCACCGTTAACTCGACAACACAAAGCGTAAAAACACACCTAAAATGCATATAGAAATACATGTGTTTGTATGGACGCACATATTTGGCTGGCACCGTGAAACTTACTGGTCAGCTCTGGTTTCACAAACCTTCCTGGTTTTAATTGCATTAAAATACCTTAGATCCTATGAACTGTATTAGTATAATAGTAAGATGTTTGAATGTTATGCATTACACTGATTCGATTACGGTGCCTGTTAGGACCGTGTAATACATGCGTCATCGAATACTGTTACTATACATGGGTTTCCCCCAAGAACAAAAGATTGTGTACCCGTTATTGCAATTTCGATATGATTTGATATAAATT